CCTTTTATTAAAATGACTATGAATTATAGTGAACTATTTTAACTGCAAGTCTTTAGAAACCTTTAGCGCATAGAAATATTACTAAGAGCTTTACATTATGATTCGATTTTTATTCTGAGTAATATATGGAATTATTTATAAAAATATTACCTAATATTAACTTTGTAAATACTTGATTATTGAAATTTAAATGCGCTTTGTGGTTGTATTTTTAAAGGGCGCATCTCTCTGTGATTTTCCTTAAATTAAAAGAAAACATACTTAATCCAAATTCATTATCAATTTTCTTTAGCACTCTCATTAAAATTATATATTATTGGCACCACAGTGCACCGCCTCGAGAAGGCGCCAACATTCACGGTCTGTACATGGAAGGTGCTCGCTGGGACACCACGGTGGGCGGCATTGTAGAGTCGCATATGATGGAACTCTTCCCTATGATGCCCGTTATTTTCATCAAAGCCGTCACACAGGATAAACAAGACACACGTAACGTTTACGAGTGTCCCGTCTACAAGATTCGGTGAGGAACACGATACTATATTCATAATATGTAACTAATAATTAGTCAATAGCAAGCCTAGCATAGAAAAACTTGAATTAGTGTGTTAAAAGTATATTTATTTTTCAACATACTCTCCTTGAAGCGCTATGCACTTCATCCATCTATGCTCTAAAGCCTTGATACCATCTCTGAAGTGGTTTTCTTCAAGCCCTTCAAAATAACTGTCCACGGCAGATATCACCTCGCTATTATTTTCAAATCTTTGTCCAACTAAAAAAATTTTTGGACGTCCCGGACGATGTTCATCTTGGGTGCTGGTACGGCCACGTTTAAATTCGGCCACCCAATTTTTTATGGTCGCATATGAAGGAGCATTTTCTCCCAAAACATCCTTCATCTCCGAAAAAATCTCTCCACCTTTTAATCCTTTTAAATGCAAAAACTTTGTCACAGCTCGTAACTCAATTTTATCCATTTTGCAGAAAAAACAAAAGAATGCTTTTTGAAAGCAGGTAATGCAGCTAATGAACCAATGAGTAAAATACTAAGGAGTTTTTATATCGTTATTATACAAAATATGGGTTGGGCTAGCCATTTATCATCCCGCCCTCGTATTATTATAGAAGTCCATTTCAAACGTTTGAGAAAAAACTCTGTTGTGGTGAATAATATAGATTAGAAAGTGTGCATTCACGGTAACAAATGGTGGCAAGCTAGCACGTTAACTAAAACATGCAATCGACGTTGTTGATACCCTTCTGGATATTGTACAATAAGTCGCTCGTTGCCTGGGTTGGATATGTATCGATGGTTTTACCCGTAATCCAGTCCATAGCTTTTGCCCTTCTACGTGATTTTATTTAACGAATTTCAATAAATATTGGAGGTACTTAGGTTCAGTGCTTCATTATGTGTCTATGCTTAGGAAAATTGAAAAATGGGCTGATATCTAATCATGCCTATAGCTTTTCCATATTATTACGATGTGATTGATATTGGGAACGCAAATAACAACGGTATGAGAACGATTTCAAAAAATATATTTAATGGTTTTTGAAATACAACGAATTACTGTGACACTTATCTAATAATAATTTAAAACATTTTATATAAAATCAAAATTTTATAATCTATTTTGGAGATAATTGCCTTATTGTTCACCTCCTAGTGAGTAATAAGTATTTTAAAAGCATAACCAATGATTCCCAAATATTTCACTTAAAAATATCAAATTAAACCATTTGGAAGATGACGCGAACATAAAAATTGTATCTAACGAATAGGATATTATCCTAAAGGCATATAACCTCTTCTATTTTTGAGACTTGAAATAATTGATCTTACTGTTAAATTCTACAATCAACTATTTGTGATTAATTTTGTTCACAGCTTACGGGGCCCCACATTCGTTTGGACTTTCAATCTGAAAACTAAAGACAAACCTACTCGTTGGACCTTGGCTGGAGTGGCACTATTGCTCGGAGTTTAATGGAATTGTGTTTGTATGAGAAATATTATTTTGTATAATAGTTTAACTTATTATGCTACCTAATTAGAAAAATAAAACGCTATCTTTATTTATTTTATTAACTTTTATTATAGATTTGCTATATATCGCAGTAAGCGTCAACACAGACAAAGCGGAAAAATGTAATGTATTAATGATGATGAAGATTATCCAGTTGAGTTAGAGTTGGCCATAGTAATTCAATGCAAGTTACAAGATATGATGTAGCATCTTATATTATTTCCAGATCTAAGCAAAAGTGATATATCATTTTTCCGGTTGCTCTGAGTGGACTCTAATAATTGTTTTCATTTAGTGCTAACAACAAGAGATAGAATAATAAATAATACATAGATATAGTATTTGTGCATACATATCTCAGTAATATATCAATAGGAAGACTACACGATTTGAAAAATAGAAAATGATTTATTGAAGAAAATAATGTAGTTGTTCAATATTACTATGAGACCATATAATTTTTAAAAAAATAATTGTTATTCTTATACCGTACGAATATTTCAGTAGAGGACGGCATCAATCAGTCTAATCACATTTGAATAAATATTAATATTAAAGTGCATTATACTATTTTTTTTTCAAATATTTCGCTTCAAGCAACGCACAACCTTTTTATGTCTGGCAGTGAGTATTACATAAAATTTACATCCAATATTAGTTCTTTACACTGCGATTTTTTATTCATCTCTTGATATTCTCCTGTTTTGCGAAGACAACCAACGAGATATTATAATAAATAATTCTATGAGATTTGTCATACTCCAAGCTTTATTTAGAAATTTATTTATATATTATTTCAAAGTTTAGCCACTTTTAACTCCTTTATTAGCGATTGAGGCATTAGGAGACATATTATCGTTATCAGATGTAGGCTCCGAACCCTTTACCGTAAACGTGACATAGTACCTCTTATTTTTATCCAATCTTTCAGCTGGTAAGGCAATTAGTTGTTTCTCAGTGCCATGAGACACTTCCAAAGTCACGTGTGCTTTGCTCGAGCCTAAAGGAGGTTTAGAGTTGATTTTGGGTAAAAAGCCTTTTGACTTCATAGTTGGACCTGCTGTAGCAGGTTTAGGCATCGTATGGTGATCCCACTTATAGGGTACTGAAAAAAAAATTAGAACGGTGTACGAAAGAGCCCTTCATTCTCTAAGAGTATTATTTTAAATATACTAATAAAAAAATTGAATGTTTAGGGTTGGAGTAAATTGACACTGAGACTACACTTACTTTTGGTCAAAATTCATATTATTAAACAAATACTAACACAGGTTAAAATATTACGAGATTCTACGGGAGTAATATTAACTTCTAGAAGGTAATAGGTTTGCTTATTCTCCGTATAACATGAATTTGGACTAATACGATGGCGGGATGATAAATAGCTAGCCTAGCATAGAAAAACTTGAAACTTGAAGCGCTATGCACTTCATCCATCTATTCTCTAAAGCCTTGATGCCATCTCTGAAGTGGTTTTCTTCAAGCCTTTCAAAATAACTGCCCACGGCAGACATCACCTCGCTATTATTTTCAAATCTTTGTCCACCTAAAAAAATTCTGAGCTTAGGGAATAGATGAAAGTCAGATGGTGCCAGATCAGGAGAATAAGCTGGGTGTGGTAGCAAATCATAATTTAATTCTTTGAATTTCGCCATCGCAGTGATGCACGTGTGAACGCGCGCATTATCCTGATGAAAGATTTTTTTTAGCCAGGCCGGGTCTTTTTTCACGAATACACACTTATAATTTATCCAGTAGATCAGCATAATATTCGCCATTTGTGTTTTGTCCTTTTGGAAGGTAATCAATTATCAATATACCCTACGAATCCCAAAATACTGACGCCATGACTTTTCCCACTGATTTCACGGCTTTTGCTTTCTTTGGAGCCGGGGATCCTTTTTCCGTCTATTGTTTAGACTAAATTCTTGATTCAGGTATATAGTGGTGAACCCAAGTCTCGACTGTAGTAACAAACCGTCGCAGAATTTTTTTTTATGGTCGCATATGAAGGAACATTTGCTCCCGAAGCATCCTTCATCTCCGAAAAAATCTCTCCACCTTTTAATCCTTTTAAATGCAAAAACTTTATCACAGCTCGTAGCTCAATTTTATCCATTTTGCGGAAAAAACAAAAGAATGCCTTTTGAAATGTCAATATTTAAAAGAAAAACTATACGATCGATTTGAAATTTGGAACACTGGCAGCTTATGAGCCAACGAATAAAATACTAAGGAGATTTTATATCGTTATTATACAAAATATGGGTTGGGCTAGCCATTTATCATCCCGCCCTCGTACTGAAATTGCAATTTTAGCGTAAATTTACTCTGACGCTAAACCTCGTTTATCAATAGCACTGTAAAAGATGTTTAAATATGTGGTATAATAATAGTGCAATAGTTTATTTAATTTCAAAATAATTATGCACAAATATTGTACATTCACGTTTATAATTACAAAATAGAAATTTGTGAAATAACTAAACAAGAAAGATGTTCTATTATTTTCAAATTAAAAGGCAGTTTTGACTGTATCTTAGGCTCACTTTCAAAATCATTTTTATTTGAACGCTTATGGGCCTGAGGCGGTCCCATGAAATAAGTTTTCATCAAAATTGAATAAGCAGTTTTGTTTTAATAACAAAGAACTTGTAGAGGTCTTCTATTAAAGAAACAACTTTCTTCTCTTTCTTTCTTCTATTTTATTTTCTTATGACGTTTTTTTTATTTTAACATTTAGAGATCGGACACAAATTGCCCGTCTTTAATACAAGTTTATTGAAATTAACCGCTTTCAAAATTAATATGTTATATTTTTTCTATTTCAACCATTTGAAAAATAATTTAGAAATTATTGTAAGTGGCTGGAATTTCTATTCATTTAGTTTCTGATGGACTATTGTGAAAAAAGGGTAAATAAAAATACTCTTTCCCGATCTAAATAATAATTTGAGTGTAAAATAATTACTTACTATATGCTGAACAAGGTATGCCGGTGTAAGCATGTACTGCATGGAAACATCGATGGGTTTTATTGGTGCAAAGACAGGGATTATCTGGGATAGCACTCATTTTGTACAATTCACTTTCTCCGTAATCAAAATCAATAGGCTTTTCTGGCAAGTTGTCCAAATACTTTTTACCACTCTTTTGCAATTTTCTCAAACTATCGTATAAAAATTTCTCAAAGCTACTAAATGAATATTCTGGATTGTTGTATGGTCCCACGCCTACAGAAGCTAAGCTAGATTTATTGTATTCATCAATAGCTCGTTTCACAAGAACGGCTTCATTAGTTTTACTGGTTCTAATTTGTAAACGTTTGAGTTCAAATAGGTGTTGAAAGATCTTCCTTTCACAATAATATCTGGAAAAAAAAATAATAGATAAAGAATCACAACTATCATAAAACAGATACAGTGTTTTTAATAAACAAGGTTTAGCGTCAAAGCAAATTTACGCTAAAATTGCAATTTTAGTATCAATCGAAATTCATATTATTCAGAGAATAAGCAAACCTACTAAGTACCTTCGAGGAGTAAATATTACTCCCGTAGAACCTCGTGGTAGGTAAACCTTTACTAAGTTTGCATTTTATTAATATGAATTTTCACTAATACTAAGTGCAGTCTCAGCGTAAATTTACTCCAACGCTAAATCTTGTTTATGAATAACACTGTTAGAGAAAAGTAATATTAATACCTTCTCATGTTAGTCTGTATCCGTTGAGTAACAGATTTCATATCAACAGCACGTTTATCCCCTGGTTTTCGTACAGGTATTCTACTATCCGATTTCCCTGAATACCTTCCGCTAGCGTTCCTTTGTTGATAGTAAGCTGCAAGACGGGGACTCATAATACGACGTTGTAATGCTCTAGGGCTAGGTTCGAAACCAGAATCCATAAAACCACTAGACTCGTAACCTCTTTCAGAATTTTCACTTTTTGATCTTATTGTAGTACGGCTTTTTGTACGACCTTTCTTACGAAATCTCTTTCTACGACTGTTAGCTTCAGATTGACTATATATTTCATTGTCACTTACACTAGGTACTCTTCCAAGGGAAGTATCTTTGGTCAATAGCTCACTGTCAAAAATGTCCTTATCATCTTCTATAGAGGCATCTTCTTTTTGAAATGTTTTTTTCAGAATACTTGTAGTTGCTTCAGGTGCACTAACCACATCGGAGAGTACTTTGTAACTCTCAGTTTCATATATGCTTCCTTTTCTGCTACTGACTTGGCTATCTTTGGAAGACTTTCTAGTTCGTTTTGGAGAACCTGCTAGTGGTAAGTTTATGTCATATTCTTCTGTCACATTTTCCATTATTACTTGCTGTAAAGCGCGGTCTGTTGAGGGCGATTTACTCTCTATTATTGTAACAATTCCTTTTTCTCCACTTCTATCAATACTAATTTCAGTACTACTACCCGTAGTTGAAGCATACTGGTTTCGTTTTTCTTCAGGACTCAATATATTACTTTCACTGCTATCTTTATTTTCACCTTTAATTAATTTTTCTTCTTCCAAATTAATATCAGAATGATCAACATATTCTCCCATTAAATTATCCGGCTGTTTTTCGGAATCTTTGCTTTCAAAAATTTCGTCTTTATTTGCAAAAGAAACCACCGGTGAACTGCTTTTTTCTAATGATTCTTTTTTTTCTAGACCTTCAGTCCTTTCAGATTTATTAGTTAGTCCTTCCAGATTTATTTCGAGTTCTTTATTTAGTATATCTTCATCAGGACCAGACAAAACTTGAAATGATTTTTTTCTCATTCGTTCTAATGGAGAATTAGTTGTTACTGTACTTACTATAGCATCTTCGTTGGCTAAATCACTCTCTTTGCTGTCCTTATTTAATTGCGGTGATTGAACCGAATCTTCTTCTTTGGTTGATTCCTGTAATGGATTATTTTTATTCTCAATATTGATATTGTTAGAATCGTGAGCTTCCGAGATCGCTTGGGTTTGTTCTTCTTGTTGTTTAATATTCACAGAACCGTGTTCATTTGTGTCCCCTGATAATTCCTCAACTTGTTTTTGTTCGGTATGAGTAATTTTTGCTGAACTTTGATCCTCAATAGATAATTGAATTAATTTGTCAGCTGGGCCTTTAGCTTCATCATCTGCTGTTTTCTTAAGATCGTTTAGATCCTTATGATTAACTGATAAATTCGATGTTTCAATCGATACGTTATTTGATGAATCAACTGTTACTGTTAACTCTGAACTTCCATGCTGACTAGATTCACGTTCCATATGTATTTGTGCTTCGGTGACAATCATATTAGTTTTCACAGAAACGGTATCAGTTTCGGTTTCGCTTAAATTTTTGGTTTTAGTAAGTGATGTTTCCGTTTTGTTTAAATCTGCATTTTCTTCTATAGATTCGTTTTGTTCTTTATTATCCTTTTGATCAGATTGTTGAGGTGAATCTGTTCTTTTGTATTTAACTATATTAACACTTTGCTTTTCATCATCATGCTCTATATGTATTGATGTCTTTTTCCCTTTTCTTTTCATATTTCGACGTTCACTAGATTCTGAGCTACTGCTTTCAGAGAGAGAGCTTGATTTCCTTTTGCTACGTTTTCTGTGCCTTTTTTTTCTTTCTGAATAGCTTTCTTCCTCTGAAGAACTTTCAGATCCTGATTTGTAACGACGATGATGTTTTGCACTACTACCATTCCCACGAGATGGCTCACTTTTTGATCGACTTTTTCTCGAACTTCGTTTCGATTTTTTTGAGTTATACTTATCCTTGCTGTATCCTTCATACTCAGAATCATATCCATCACTGAAACTTTTTTGACTTTCCATTAGTTTTTTTCGTCGTCCATGATGTCTTTCAGAATACTTACCATTTGATCTTCTTTTAGATTTCTTTCTATCTAATGACGAGGAAGATGTTGAACCACTATCACTTCTATCTTTTATTTGGCGTCTTTCCGTAATTGGACTTGTTAGTTCCACTACTTCACGTTTCTCTATTCTTATTTTATCTCTAACATCGATTTTAGTGCTAGTTACCCTTCGAGTTGGCAAACCTGTTATAGAGCCATTGTCAATAACGATTTGTGTATTTGCTAATTTTGAAGCCGGCAAACCTCCGTGCATTTGTAAATATTTTGCTGTGGATCTATGACCTCGAGTTGTTGCACAATCTAGTGGAGTTAAAGGTTCATTTTTTGATGACCTCGCTACTAAATTTACTTCTGCTCCACGATCTAATAGAAGGCGACAAAGATCAGCATTATCTGTTGCTGCTGCAATATGCAAAGGAGTGCGGCCTTCATGATTGGCTGCATTAACTTGTGAAGGTCTTCCATCCAACAGCCATTTAACCAATTCTCTTCGACCTGATGCAACAGCTTCATGAAGTGGGAGATCACCTTTAGAGTTACGTAACCACAAATTTGCGCCCCTTGCGCCTGAAATAAATCATTTATTTATAATTCAGAAATAAATTATCTTAAGTATTTTGTTAATATTAAATAGATTATTTAGAATTCATAGATTAGATAATAAATATATAGAATAATTATAGATTAAATAAAAAATAATGAACATATTTTCAAATGATTTTGACGTTTATTGTCCCAATTTATTGGATTTATTTATTCATTAAAACAAAAAGTGAATTAAAAAGGAAACCTATTGGCTTGCCATATAAATACCTATAGCGGATAAAACTACTAATACAGTCACACACCAAAGCACAATATTTTCTATAATATGAGCAAAGTAAGTAGAGGATAAGCCTTGCCTAGGGCGCTAACAAATTTTAAATACTCCACTGTGTACAATATGATAATAATTGTTGAATATATCAGAAAAACTACATGTAACAAAACACTAATTAATGCAAGAATATTGTGCGGCAATGTTTTAAGTGGTTACTTTTCCTTCTAAGTACTCCATGGATGTACATACCTAGTATTCGTACAGTCTCAATCTGACCCTTAGCGGCGGCTGTATGCGCAGGGCTACGACCCCGTCTATCCTGACGATGTGCGTCAGCGCCATGTTCCAGCAAAGCTGCAGTAGCATCAGCATGGCCAAGCGCTGCAGCATAATGTAGTGGTGTGCATCCGTGCGAATCTGCTACATCAACACGTGCTCCGCAGAGACCAACCAAGGTTTCTAGCGCCTCTGTGTGACCCCTAGCTGATGCACAATGCAATGCTGTGAGCCCATCGCTGAAATTCAACCATTTAATAATATTACATGTTTATATCGCACATATTTGACAAAATATTATTTTAATACTCAATTTCGCAATCGCTCTTTCTGTTTGTTATAGCATACATTACAAATGGATTAGTCTGTCATAGATTTAATAAAAACGTATGCCTATTGCGTTCGTATTAACAACTATACGCGTACCGGTCGGCGTCATCGACTCTTGCGCCTGCTTGATGCAGCGCGAGCACAGCGGCCGCGGAGCCGGCAGATGCTGCCCACAACAACGGCGTACGTCCGTCCGCGTCACGGACGTCCACGCGTGCACCTCCTTCGCGCACTAGTGCACGCAATACTTCCAATGCTGCTCCGCGACTCTAATAATCAGAGATACGTAATTATACTCTCATCTGTTATCTGATAAGGGTTGAATTCAAATATGTAGAATATGCCTGTTACTTGGAAAATAAACGCTTACATCATTAATCCTCGTTATTAACTATAATTAATAGTTCTTAGTATTACTACTCGTCATGTTAAGTAACATGTAAATTTATAACTCACAAATGATCTGCCATTGTTAGTCATTAGATATTGACCTAGATTTCTACTCTATTACTACTCTACCCTTAAAATTCACCATTTTACACGACTGCCTAAAAACTCTCGTAATTCAACTTTGTTGGAAAATTGATAAATACATGAGTCACTTTAAGATTTTAGTATGTAAACTGCCTCAGCGTTCTTACGGTTACTATTAAGAATTACAAATCATCTACATAACAACATCATCATTAGCCTGTTAACATCCCCACTGGGGCACTGGCCTTCCCTATGGGCGGAATATTATCAAATAGAGAGAATAGCCTATGCCCGGCGCTGATCCTCTATGCCACCATACTACATATGGTCTCACATAAAACAAAGCAATTTAATTACCTGATGGTCAGTGGCCGCAGGCGCACCACACATTTGCGCAGCATAGTGCAGAGGGTACCCTCCGTGTTGGTCCGGGGTAGCAGCATCTGCTCCCGCAGCCAGAACTGCTCGCAAAGCGCCTACTTCGCCACACACTGGCAATACAAAATAAAATAAATATGGTTACATTTGAAACTATTTATTAAATATTTTGTGCCTACACTTGACCACCAGATATGAAATCATGACGCCAGATGTTTCTTATTTCCAGGATCTCGTTGTAATTGTGACGTGCAAGACTACCACCACTGAACATCTTGGTTTAGACTTTAGAGGTTTACGGACTCGGATGTGTACTTAAAAGTTCTATGAAAACAATAAGAAATGAAACTATGCCTTGTGTGTTCTAGAGCATCAGTCTCTTTTTTCTTTTTAGGAAGGAAAAGTGACAGAAAATGCTGCTTTATGTTAATCTAGGCTGATAATAATAATTCTCACAAACTTTCACATTTACATATAATATTATTAGACGATTGTCGTTTTTGTGTATTTCTGTTATTGTAATTCTTTATTTCATTGATTGGCTATAAATGTTATAGGTATGTATGTGTATCAAATAAATAAATTTAATTTGATTTTAAAGTCAATCACTACACTTTTTCAGCAATATGTTCCTACCTCTCACGAAATGTTGACTCATCAATTAGAGGCGACTCATATCTACATAAGCCTTGATACTCCGAATAACTTAGTCCTAGGTAAGTCGATAGCCCGAAAGTTCAAGGGCCTGACCTTGCCGGACGCTCAATACAAGTCGAGCTGGACCCCACTCCCCGACTGCCCACCCTACACAATAACTCATAAGCATAAGTCATAATGCGGCAATCAAATCTCACTTTACTGTTATATTAATTACATACGTTACATTTTCAGATGCCCAATTTTCAGTGGATAATTAAACGAATGATTTTGAAGCTTTGTAAAGTCTAACTCGATCATAGATAATAATTTAGTTTTCAAGCATAGTTCGATTATCAATATCTATACTAATATTATAAGTTGAAGAATTTGTATTATTTGTTGAACGCGCTTAACTGGGGAACTATTAGTTCAAATTGAAAAAAATTGTACACTCGTTGATTTTGATTATGAAGTGTCGTCGTAGTCCAGGGAAGGTTGAAAAGGTTAAAACTGATACAAAGTGCACCGGGTCTTTTAAAAATCTAAAAATTAGTACACATCGTATACATCTTATCTAAGTGGGTGGTTTCTGAGAAAAGGTCCATGGTTCCTTTTTTCTGGAAAAAAGAGAAGAATTATCGATATCAGTAAATTAAATGTGGAGCAACACTTGATATTGATTCACCATGATTTTCTTTAAATTGTCTTTAAATTAACCTTTTCAAAAAGTGTTCAATTTAAATACATTATGTTTATTATGACCTTAATGCCAGCATTAAGGATACAATTATAATTCTGAGTTAAACAGCTTATGAGGATCAACCAACGTCGCTAAATATCTGTGTTATGTATAATTTTGTTACCAAAGACAAGAAGCTTTTTTTTATAGAGGAAGGTCAGTGTCAGGATTTCCGGTGTCAAGATAACCACAAGCTGCGGAAGCTCCACTGTCCTTCATTCTCAAAATAACATGATGTAATGTATACAGCCGACTGCATGTTTAATTTTACCTTTTCAAATATTCTTTATATAAATAAGCAAAAGATAAGTAAATTTCTTAGTGATTTGAAACCTGTAGGCCTACTGCGTATCTACATAGGCTTTAATTTGGTTAACATTGGATTCAATAAGAATATATTTAGCGTTATATAACTACTGTTTTGAATATTGAATGCATTTTTATTGAATACAATCCAATGGCAACCAAATCGAAGTCAATGTAGGTGGGCCTGTGTTGACTCATCAATTAGAGGGCAACCTTTGGCGTGAACGGGCGCTGGGTATGGGGCACTCCCTACTGGATCTCAGGTCCTTTCTTCAAAAGAGAGGGTGCACGGACCTTTAATGGGTATATTATCCGCATTTTGACTGACTATCCTTCGAATGGAGAGTCTCACACACCCTCTAACGTCTGTCAAGCGGCGGGGACAGTGCATAAAGAAAAAGGCCTGCTAATAGTAACGCATTTTTACAGGACGGAAAAAGGTCTGCTCATCTGAAAGCATGCCTGTGATTGTGACCGCGTAACTACATTGTAAGGAACAATTTTTATTGATGACAAAATATAGATATAGATGACAGTATAGCAAATTTTTGAGATAATTGTCGTTGTTCACGATTTTACAAAGACATGAGCAACCATTACTTTGATGTAATAGATGTTGAATAGATGTAATTAATTATACTTATAACCCATCGTATTTATTAAAGTACACAATATACTTGCAAGCTAAACTAAGTGGCTATAAATATCGTTTATTAAATACGATACTAAAATACGTATAATAGATCAATGTTTTATACGAGAGTCTTTTAACTTTGTGGTCGAACGTAATGTATCATCGTCGATAACTGACGCCAACTTAGAGTATCTAATTGGTCGCGTGCAGGCCCGCAGTCAGCCAGTCCGATGCACTGATAACCGCCAAGGCAACACTACGCCGCGCCGTGACACCGCAAGTTAGATAAAGGCTTGTCTGTCTGATACCACACGACCATTCATTAATCTATTCGCATCTACAATTTTTATGAATTTTATTGATTTCTCAAAGTTTTGAATTATAATATTTTTTTTGGAAAACTAAAACCGACTTAAAAACTAGAAAATAATACCCGTCTTAAAAGCTCGTCAAAAGTTCATGTGCCCATGAAACTTTAAAGTCCGGCAGAGATTTTTTGAAGTTTGAATAATATAAATCGATTCTTATAGCTTGAGGTAATCCCATTATTTTTGGGGCTAGCTTTCAAAAACAATTTTGAAAACCACTCTTCGATTCTAAAAGAACAATGATTTTCCTCCTATTTGATTTTGATGGCGGTTAAAAAACTGCGGCGAATAATCCCAATTTTAAATTCATGTACTCACGGCTGCACGTCATGTTACCACAGTATGTCAAATTTCCCCAGTGGATTTTAAACTCTATCATCAAAACATTAGGTTTAAAATCAAGTGGACAAATTTGACATGTTTGTATGGCATGACGTGCTGTACGTCATATGAGCATATCAAATCAAGTACTTATTATAACTAATACTTATAGTGAGTTCCATTGGCAGTCATATCTTTAAGTGATACATAAGATGACCCACTGTTTTTGAGACCTCGAGTTCTTAGCAACTATAATTTACATTCAAATAACAAAGTATGCTGCCACTGCAACTTGACAGCACGACTGCAATATAAAAATATTACTTATATATTCTGAATGTGATAAAATTACCTGTAGCCCAGTGTACAACAGTGTGTTGTTCATCATCCTGTGCGTTTACGTCGGCGCCGGCTGCTAGCAGTGCTTGCACGAGTGGTACGTTTCCGTGTACTACCGCTAAGTGAAGCGGAGTGAGACCATCAGCATCTCTTACGGTGGCCAAATCTGGTGCTGCCATCAGCACACGATCCGCGCAAGCCGCGCGCGCTCCTTGAGATGCGCCTGCGCCGCTCGATGCGCAGTAATGTAGAGCGCACCGTAACCCACGATCACGAATTTTAACTGATGCTGGCTGTCAAAAAAAACTCATAGCTCAAAACTCTTTCAAAGAGTGCTTTTAAATGAATGTTTAAGTTGAGAATCATATTTTTATTGCTAGTTTTATTGCGATGATGACATAGCATAACATCAATAATTCAGTACCTAAGTTTATATGTAGCTTATATGAAAATGGTGATAATATAGATGATAGAGTATTTTAATAGCCGTATCGTAATTGACATTTTAGTCAGACAAACATAAATAGCGTGTGGAACTTCATTAATTTAAATGGACTGAAAGTCTGGGAGATGGTGCGTAATCTAAGTATTGTAATCACGATGAGACTAAGATGTAAAATAGTTTTACAAAAGACCCTTAAATATTATATATAAAAGATAATATTTAAGGGTCTTTTGTCATAAAAATCTTAAAAAAATATATTTAAATGGAGAAATGTATTCGATGAGTTGTATGATGGCTAGCCTAACGTTCGTTAACACTCACCATAATTCAGAATTTTCAACAAGGCTTTGTTGACGGAGTATCGACGAACACGTGTTACTACCTAATAGCAAAGGCGTCGATATAACCAACCGTATTAATCACACGTGAAAACTATTCCCCTGCTGTTGTGCCAGGGACAGCCAACATCTATCGATTAACTATACTATAACCCCTCACTTCAAATACCAAAACCCCTCGTTACCGAATGCATTTTAAAATTAAATTTCAGGGGAATCTTGGAATTATTCAAACAATAAATCTAAAAGTTAATCTGTAACTGATTAATAAAATGCATTTTAAAATTAAATCATCTTTCATATAATATGTAGTGATTCAGCAGGTAAGCTTTAAAATGACAAGGCTATCTTTTTATTATATAGGTAGTCAGTGTTTTGACAATGATATTCGCTTTGTGTACCGTTGTGTAATGTTGGTGGAAAAACATTGACGGAAGCATTACGGTGCAGTTTGCCGGTGTCGACGCGTGTCGATTGTTTACAAGGCGAACAATTCTTCGAGCCGTGGTTTCGCGTGTCTCAGCCGTAGTGAAATTTGAAAATATCAAGCACCTTTCGTAACAGCCTTTTGAACTGATGGGCTTAACAAGTTAAAAATATGAAATTATGCGGTACACGTTTTCGAAAATCATATAATATAATTTTGCCAAATTGCTATTTTATTATTTTCCGTGTGCATTAAATTTGTTGAAATGTAAATGAATGAAATGTATAGCTGTCTCCCGGCGATATCAGTCAATTCGGTGATTCTGAACTCACGTCCTTATTGAGGATGTCCACCACAGCTTTGTAATCTGCCTGCTGGCAGGCGTACATGAGCGGAGTGCAGCCCTGCGGTAACGGTGTCTTTACATCTCCCTTTTTAGTGCCTTCCACCTTCTCTCGCTTAATCTTGGAGCTCTTGTCGACGAGATCTCCTTTGAGACGGTTTTTGGGTTTTTTCAATATGCTGTGGACGGGTTCACCCCAGCCCTTAGCGTGCTTGTCCATAACAAATGAATTTAGAATGAAGTGTGTAGCATATAGGAGTATGCCGTGCGCGGCGAGTGGGCGCGGAGGGCGCGAGCCTCCGACTGGCCGCCGAGGCAGCTAGGTGGCTGCCCACTCGGACAAGGCGCTAGGCGGGAGGCCACGCAACACCGCCCTAAACCTAATCTATTACATTACCTGATTGCACAAAATCAGGTCACCGTTTCGTTTATTCATATAGTAAAAATTTGATTGTATTCTTGTCGTATTATTGAACTCTTTGAATAGTAGGTATGTATGATCATCCATGTTACTCCATTTGTGAACATTTGGGAAAACCACATGAAAATCGGTTGGGCGGTTTATTATTTTAACTTTACGATGGTAAGTTAAACATAATTTTAAATATTTGATTGTACTGTATTATTGTTGCGTACTAATTTAACTGCAGAAAATTAAAAAGTAATTGGATGGGTAAATGCAAATAAAATAATAGGGATGTTGCCTGGGTTAAAAAAATATATTTATGGTAAAAAATATATTTAAGGTCAAGCTTGTTCGCTTTAATATAATAATTTTCTCATCAACCGATGCTAAGAACACTCTTGAAAATGTCATCAATATTCTCTTGCGGTGCGCTTTCATTTGAGTATATGTGCAGTCATTCGGTTAGTCTTCCTCACTTTCAGCCCCTACAACTTTCATCAAATTTGTAGGGGCTGAAAGTGGGGAAGAATATTTACCCTAATTTATACTTAAATTTAAAAGCTTATTTAATGCTTTTATTTAAATCTGAGTCCACTATAACCAATAAGCGTAACTACCTACTAGAATTTCACTTTATTTTTCATTAGCTCGATCTTAATTACATAATTTTCGATCTAGTGCATTAAATTAAATTAAACCTATTCCGACTGACATACGTCTCAATTGAATTTGTTACCTATTGGTTTTTATTTGGGGTTGTTTTGCTTTACTATTTACCACCGATTTTGTTTTTTTTATTTATTCTTTATTACAATAAATGGCGGACTAAATGCCATATAGCATTCTCTAACAGTCAAGCTCAAACGATTTTCATCAAACATATCTATGAACACTCTCAATATGTCAACTTTAATAAAAAAAAAATGAAATTGAAATTGCTGCATCCCTTTGGGGGCCATAATGCCACAGACAGACAGACGGACACATAGACACGTCAAACTTATAACACCCCTCTTTTTGAGTCGGGGGTAAACGAGAAATTCTATTTAGTCTGTCAGTCAGATAATCATACATTTTTTTTTTTGCTTCAATTTAACAAGAAATGGCCTAGATTATAGGCATTTTTTTAAAAGTTGAGTATAGTTTACGTAACGAACGACATTTACTTAACGAATCACAACTACGTATCAAATGTACAGAGGTATTACTCAATGTATCGCCGTAATTTATTGATTAGAAAAAAACATGTTTAATACTCTTTATTAATCTACAAACAAACAAAAATTAGTCATTATCCCTATTTGGAAATCCTACGAACATGAAACAGTAACAGACGACGCGAGCTTATGTCGATTTTCTGTTTCTCCAAGGCGGCCAGAGTTTCAAGAACTCTAAACTTTACATAAATATTTAGAAAGCTCTTTAACAGTCAGATATATACAGGACCTAATTCAAATGGACGAATATTATTATAGTACTATTAAGCTGTTGTGAAGGTTGGGGAGCTGTTTCGGTAATGTTACGTAACGTGGAATAGGGTGTGACGTCATTGCCTACCTATTAAGGGGTTCTTTGAGCCACCACTGATCGTATCAGACTAACATAATTTACGTCGCGGGCCACAGATGAGTTTGTCCATAATTTCCTCGTGATAAAACTTTTCAAGGTTACGTCATGGTTCCTAAAAATCGGTCATATATTTTTTCAACTCTTCCCCTAGTTTCCGCCGACCGTGAAACATTTATGAGACTAAATAAGGCAACATGTAGGTGAGCCATTTACGTTGAATAAAGATTTTATAGCAAAAGAAGAAATTTGTTTTTGTATTTTTAATCGAGTTCAAAACGGAAGGTTGTAAATGTGACGTGCACAATATGTACGTTTTCTGTAAATGTTTCCTCTGAGTGCGTCTTTAAGATACTCGTAAATACTTTTGAAGTTGTTAAAGAAAGTTGGTGAAAGTCATTTCCATCTCTAATTTTCGTATGCATAGTGTATAATTTGTACATTTTTAACCGACTTCAAAGTCGACAAGGAGGAGGTTATATGTTTGACGGCAATGTTTGAGGGCTTTAGCTACTCATCTTGGAATCTGAGCAATGTATGTGATGCTGTTTAATATTTATTATTTATAATTATTATTATTATTATTACTTATCTTAGCGGCTATCACTTAATTAATAAAACCTCCGCCTGCCTATAATAGTAGTTTCTTAAATAAGTCGCTTTTAAGATAAATATTATTTGTCACTTTTTAAAAGTATGAATTCGATTTTTTTTTATTAGTTTTTATCTACGTAAGTAGTTGTGACTTATTGAACCCACACTCCCGCTGTCTATAAACTTGAAGCAAAAAAAAGGATATAATATTTTTCTTATATATGACTGACGGGGTTAACGGAAGTTCTTCTTTTTATCCAGTCATCATACCTATTATTTTAATATAAATAAATTAATGCCAGTTGGCTGTGAATGTAAATATAACTTTAACGATACAAATGAATCTTTTACCAGTTTCTAAATTAACTAAGCTAAAAAAAATATTATTTTTTACTTTGCATATAAGTCATTCAGCCATTTCGTTGCATTCGTATGTTCCGTTAGATTCAGTGTGCAGAAATAGGTAAATGAAAATTGTTTGAATGGAAATTAGATTAAAAAACACATCCTAAAATCATTCCCATCCAACGTTCCAGCGCTTGCACTCGTTGTGTGAAGTTAATTGCTGCTAAAATATTTCCATAAGACTTATATTTTCGATTTGTACCTACTCCGAGCACAATAAAATCCTTTTTACAACATTAAAACGCAGGAATGCTTCTATCAAATTTGCATTATATTTCATGTAAATATATATGTTTCACGTTTTTTTTTTCATCACCCGCCACTAATTTAGAAAAGTTCGTAACTGGGCTATTTACCTCCCTGTATATCTCTTTCCCGCTCTCGACTACGGCTTGTCAATCAGTCAGCCGATACAATTCCAGTAGGGTCCAGTAGGGACGTGCGTCAATGAATCAAAAGATATTATCGTTCTCGCAGTGAATACCGAGGTTTGGTGTCCTGTGAACATAAATACCTCTACCATCCAGGCATTTTTACTTTGTACTTGTGTGCAATGAATATTATCCATTATACGTTGATTTCACAGTGTATTATTGGTCAATCTTTAAAAGTATACCTATAATTTGTAATCAATTTTCGAAATTATCGAAAAATATCCTTTATGAAAGTGACATATTGTTTTTAAGCATTTTTCGTTAAGATGAATATATAGCATTGTGAATGCAAAATTGAACAAGTATAATTAAATAAACATATCCCAAACGTTTATTGAAGGTGCCTGTTACGGACGCACGTCTCGTCGAGTTGTATATTAGATGATCTTAAGTAAATTATATATAATAAGTAAGTTTAGTGAAATGAATGTGGTTAAAGCTTAAAATTAAACGATACAACCTCTGGGTTTATTTATTCCCCTAGTATTAAGATAATTTAAGTTATAGCAAATTAAATGATTATGAAGGGTTGGATTTTATTTGCTATGGTTTTCTATAAGGTATTGCCTCGCTAAGGAGGCTTAGGAAGCTCTCTCTATGGTATTGCTTCACTCAAGGAGGCTTATGTGGGTTTCTATACGGTATTGCCTCGATACAGGGGTGTTAAAATGTAAAATGT